GCCAAGCAGTAATGTGAGCTTTGATGCATCAAGGTTTGGACGGTAAAAGTGCAGGTGAAATTACAGGCACATGGGACTCAACTTATGTCTGTATAAGATCTTTGCGATTTGAAGCTCTAAATGGCACTGCAATTGTTATTTATAGATGTCCCTTACCACCAGGCACATGACTTATTCGTCTCGTCACTTGGTATTATAAAAAAAAACCGTTTAGAGCGTGCTATATAAATATTTTTAATTTAGTGCATACATATATATGTATATACTAAAATATACATAAGCTCATGTATGTATTTACATAAGCTGAAGCACTTGTCCCACAGAGTGCCACTTTACTCTATCCTGCCACAACTCTCGAGCCTCACATAAATCAACTACCTTTTTCGTACAACTTCTTTTCTACTTATAATTATTAATACAAAGATCTCAGAAAAAATTCTCTTGATCCAGCCGGATTCGAAACGACGTCATCTAGCATACCGTGCCAGACGCTATACCAACTAAGCCATGGAACGAACCAGTGGACCTCACGATTTTTTTCTATGTGCTTATTGTCGTGAACGAGTCGTTGAAAAACCAAATACAAAGAGTATTTGGTTTTTCAACGACTTTTTAGTCGTAGCGCCATCTATAAGAAATCTATGAAAGTTTCATCACCCAGTTAGACACCTTTACAGCTACCATTCCGTTCCGTACCGTACTGTTCTTTTATTCTTGTCACTTCGGATCCCAGCGTTTTTGAGGACATCACTGATCTGGTCAATATTGGTCCGTATTAAAGTATGAAGTTATTTTAGTATGAAAGTAAAATCTGGTTAATTATTGAAAGTCATGAAACAAACGTTGTTGTGACGTTACTAATATAGTCACACAGTATAGTAGCTGTAGAGCTCCTTGTGGAAGGGTTCGTACAGGGTAGTACTGCCACCTTACCTATTTCTGCCGCCAAGCAGTAATGTCAGCATTACTGTGTTCCGGTTATGAAGGGTAAGGGTGCTGGTGAAATCACAGGCACATGCCTTTCACTTATGACCCAGGGTGACGGGCGCAGTGGCAGTGCCCCTCGAATCTTTGCAATTTAAAGCCCTGAGTGGCGCTGCAACTGTTATGAATAGGCGTGTAGCTTACCATCAGGAGCATGACTTGTTCGTTCCGTCCCTCAATATTATATATATAAAAAAAACATAGTAACAAACTTGACACAAACACCATCAGCAAAGTACCGAGTTAAAAACTTAAATTAACATTTAAAAATAGTCAATAAAGTAAACATTCGTAAGCTAACAAATCATTGAGGTCAATTTGAGGAGCCCAAACACGATAGTCTATTGAAAGTAGTTGAAGAGTTGGGTAGTTTGCAGACTTCTTTTCAGTCAGTCTTTCAGACAGTCTTTTTTTTTTACATTACATCAAATGAAGGTTACCAATTATAATGTCATCGGATTTCCGTAGTACACCAAGTTTGTGGAAGTGAAAGTAAAATATTTGTATTTTTCATAAAAAAAAAAACTGACCTGTAAAGTTCGTGGACCCCTAGTTTGCCACCTTTAGAGGAGGAGGTAATTTAAATGGGACCTCCACTGAGATACCTTCTTTACAACAAAAAAAGAATCATCAAAATCGGTTCACAAATGAATTATCGCGTAACATGCATAAAAAAAAGAAAAATAAACGTACATTCAAATTGAGAACCTTCTCCTTTTTTTTAAAGTCGGTTAAAAGTGGAAATAAAACTATTTTCCGTTTACCACCTTTAAAGGTGGAATATTTTCTTTAAAGTTCCATGGGACGAATACTGAGACTAATCTTTCCAACAAAAAAAGAATCATCGAATTCGGTCATCGAATCATCGAGCAATCGCGTAACATACACAAAAAATACAGTCGAATTGAAAACCTCCTCCTGTTTTTGGACGGTTAATAAATATTCATTTTATGACTGGCACCAGCTAAATAAATGTTCTTCAAACATAAAATCTGTCCCGAAGACATTATTAGCCTTAAAATTCAAAGAAATCGCTTTCAGATTTGGGCCATGAACTACGATACCACAGTTAGACATACAAGGGTTAAAGAAAATGAAATTTCTATTATAATTTGTATATAATTTTTATGGGTTAATCCAATGTTTGTAAGTTCTCTACAAAATAGGTGAACTGTACATCAACGCGAGTTTTCATTAACACCAAGTTGCAGTTAAAACAAAAGCAATATTCACTTTATTAAACTAGCGCTGTAAATGAGAACGTTAAATGAGAATTTGCAAGGGTAAATAAAGAAATTCGCGATTAATTTCGTTTATCAATATTAATTACGTTCACACGTTATTGTTTTATATAGTAATTACTGGGTCTACTTTAAGGTTAGGATTTCTTTTTTGAAACCAATTGAGACGGGAGGAACAAGTGCACCTGGTGCTGTCCATTACAGTAGCAGTGCCACTAAAGTTTTCAAGGTTTTTGCGCGTACATAGCATGCAAACATATGAAAGTGAAATACACCGAACACAAGACACAATGTACGCGCAGACTTTGAATGCTTCGCTGAACGCACCACATAGTTGCGAATTTGTGGTCTCAGAGGATTAAATGGGAACGATCCAGCAGACGTAGACGTTACGACTTTTTCTATGTGCTTGCTTGTTGCCTTTTTTCGTTTTTGTTTTTTTTTGCTGTATTGCCAGGTATGAGAAATCTATGAAATTTTTAATGCAACTAATATTGTACCGACTAATATTATTGATTATTTCAATGTGTCAAATTTTCTTGCCATTGGGTTTTTATTTCATCTTTGTTATTACAAATATTATTCATGACTCCTATAATTTCGTATCCCACTCGCGTAGGGTGGCAATTCAATTGTGTCTTCCTCGGCAAAGGAGAATTTACATATTCTAGTCACATCCGTAATTCAATATAAATTTCTAGGATTCCCACAAACTTGAAGTTGGAAATCTCCGGTGATGTAATACGAAAGATGAGAACATTTTACTAGAAACAGATTCTATTTATTAATACACTTCATCAGTAGGAATAAGTGCCTACATTATCACAGACAGCCCTCTATGCAGAGCGTGCACGGAGGGAGAGGAAACGGCTGCGCACATCCTACTTCAGTGCTCCGGCGTGGCCAACTACAGGGCAAAGTACCTTGGAGTGCCAAGGTCGCTCCCCGAAGTCTTCAGCAAACCATGGAGGCTGCTAAGATTCCTGGAGGAGCTTGGGTGCCACGAGTAGGACCCTGCACCCACCACACGCAAAATCGGCGCCTTGTCGTCGAGTTGCGGATACCAGTCCGTTGCATCAAAGTACCTACATTTTTTTCATTATATTAGTTTTTATAATAGCATTAGACCTCCTTGTGAAAGACTTCGTCCTGGGAAGCACTGCGAACTTATCTATTTCTACCATCAAGCAGTAATGTGAGGATTACTGCGTTTCGGTTTTAAAGGGTATGAGTGCTGTTGAAATTACAGGCACATAGGACTTTTCAACTTATGTCTCAGAGTGACGAGTGCCCCTCAGATCTTTGCGATTTTAAGCTCAGAGTGGCGTACCACCAGGCGCACGGTTTGTTCGTCCCATTACTTGGTGTAATAAAAAATATACGGAAAGTTATAAAGATAAAGATATATATTATTAGATATATAATGTTTGGTATTCTTCCACAGTACAAAAACATATGCAAAAGTTTTTCCGAAACGTTTGCCCAGTATACGTTTGTGACAGAAATTTAAATTTCGATGACCAAAGGGAGAATCTAAATCCTTTGATATATCATTGAACTGAGACATTCGGATACCACGATCGGTTTTTTTATTTAGGAATACAGGAATATTGGTCAAACTCCAATAGACTACACAGAAAAAAAGGATTTCTACTAATAAGACAGAGCAATTTCTCAAAATATTTACTAATTCTGAAAAAATGTTTGTTAAAAGTAATAAAATATTGTCATTACAAAGATGCAGCTTATCTTTTTCTAGTACAATTTTACTCTTAACTTTATTCTAACTTTGAGACAAATACGTTCACTTCAAGATTTTATTTCATTTCAAATCAATTAATTGGACATTACTTACATCAAGAAATTTTTACCTCTTACATCAAATTTAATAATCTTAAATGAATTCAAAATTTCTTGGGTGTATTTTAAGAAAATATATTCTTAAAGAAAAAAAGAAGTAGTTTTCTATTCTAAATTATAGAGTATAATATTCTTAAAGCAACATTTCGTTGCGTTTTCATAGTCAATGTTGCCGAGACATGTCGCCGAAGGCGCACGCGGTAACGATTAGTTTTACTTGTGCTTGTAATCATAAAAATCATAAACAGTCATTTATCCAAAGAAACAATACGTAGTATCTCTAGTTTGTTAGGGTGTTATTTATAGTCATAATTTAAGAAATTTGGTTACAGTATGAAATCAAACTACACGTGTAACAAGCACAACCTTAACATGCAATTAGTTCCATCACGCCACTGCTAGATGGCATTAGTTGTACTCTGAAACGCGCTATCGTTTTGTTAACTTCAATAGTATAAAGTCATCTTATATATTCGAAATTGTTAGATTAGCACACTTGTCGTTACGCGCACAGCGCACGGGTCGGACAAGCCACGGAGCCGACCACAGTGCAGCCCGCTCCGCCCACGGAAACTTTGCCACTACCCAACCTCCGGCTATCTTTCTCTCCGGTCTCCCTCCGGCCTCCCACAAGCGGGTCTCACCGGAGGGGCTCGGAGGGGGGATAGTTGCCCGGAGCGCGGGTTACGACCGCGCCGCGCGTGACCCCCCCCCCGGATACCACCATGCCGCCGCCGCCAGTACCCCCGACGAGGCAGCCGACGCGTCCAAAGCGCCTGGGGAGGGTGAGAACCCGAATATTCTCCCGCACCGGCCGCGACATCCTGGACGTGGTGCTGGCCGCAGCATCCGCGTCCACAGCCTTAACCCCCTCCCCCCCCCGTGGGGGGAGGCGAAGAATTCTTCCCTGGCGTCATGCCGGGACCGTCGACGGCGCCGCAGCAGACACAGCCCAAGCGCCCGGCGTTGAACCCACTGCCCCGAGAGCCGCGGCACAGATCACCAATCACGCCACCATCGAGCGCCGGGCTGTCAGTATCGGCGTTCGAAAGCGTGCCCTCCGCGCCACCTAAGCCCCCAACCAAGGGAAGCAAAGCCGCGTCCACGAGCGTGCCAGTATCGTCCGCCGCAGCACGCCCGCAACCACCTACTGCGCGCCAGTCACGAGCTGAGCCCGCCGCGACCACCTCCGCCTCCGCCACCAGCAGAGGCGCTGCCATCGTTGCTGCCGCTGAGCGCCCCGCAAAAAGCGGCCCCCCTCCGCGGCCGGCGACCCGCACCACCACCGCGAGCGCCCGCATCAACCCCGCCCCACCGCGTGCCACTGCGGCGGGGATGCCTGCACGCCCGCGGCCCACAGTCTCCACCCGTGCAGCCACGGCAGCTACGCGCACCACCGCCACTGCCGCCGTCAACAACACGGCAGAACAGCGCCAACCGCGCTCGCAAGCGTCGCCGCCCCTGACGCGAACGAGGGCGACGGAGGCACGCTCACCGCCGCCACTGTTCGCAGCAGTTGCCGCTCGCAGCCCCACACCGCCATCGGCCAGCGCGGCGCCATCGATGCCAGGCCTCGGTTCACCGATGGACACAGCTCCGACACCGAGGACCCCGACGCCGGAGCCCCCGACGCCGGAGACTACACCTCCCAATAGGTCTACGGCGCCGACAGCCCCGCCGGCCGAGAAGAGGCCCCGCTACCCGCCCCTAATCGTGGAGCACCTACCAAACTGGGCGCACCACTTCAGGGAGCTGAAGAGCAAGCTGTCCCGCGCGCCCAACGCCCGCCCCTACGGGCGGGGCGTACGATTCCTCCCGAGGGACGAAGTGGAGTACCGTCTGGTGCAGCGGTACCTAACCACACTGGAGAGGGAAGAGGGTATCTCCTGGTTTGCCTACTCCCTCCCAGCAGAGAGATCCCTAAAAGTGGCCATCCGTGGCCTGCCAGCGGAGACCGACACCGAGGACATTCTCCAGGAACTCCGCGAGCTCGGCTTCGCCCCGGAGTACGCAAGGCCGATCAGGGCGCGCGCTGGACGACCGGGCTGCCTATATTACGTGCAGCTCCAGCGGAACCCAGACACCATCCCCCGGATATATGAGGTGAGCGAGCTGCTCTGCATGTCCGGGGTGCGCATCGAGGCCTGGCGCGGAAAGCAAGGCATCGCACAATGCCACCGCTGCCAACAATTCCGGCACTCGTCGCACAACTGCCACCGCAAGCCTGCGTGTGTGCGATGCGGCGAGGAACACGCCGCCCGCGACTGCCCGCGTCCGCTGGAGGAACCACCGACGTGTGCCAACTGCGGAGGCCCCCACCCCGCCAACAACACCTCTTGCCCGGTTTTCCGCGCCGAAAACCGGAACAAGAAAGCCGGCACTATAGCCCGCACCGCCGACGCCGCCCGACTACGGCCATCGGAACAGGTCCCTCCGACGATGACGGTGACAACCGAGCAAGATGCGCCCGTATCGCTGATGGCTGCAGCGAACGCACCACACACCACCAGGAGGCCCCGGAAACGGAAGCCCAGGAAGCCCACCAACCAGCCGCAAGAGACAACCGCCCCTCCCAGGGAGATGAAAGGAAAGCCAGCGACGGTAGCGGAACCCCCTCCCCCAGAAATGGGGGCGCGGGACGCCGCTATCACAAAGGCAATCCTAATCCTCCAGGAGGTACTGCAGGACATCCGGGCCAACCGAGACCCAATCCCAACGATCCTCAGAGGGATGGCAGACCTGTACACCCGCTGACGCCAAGCCTGAGGATCGTGACCTGGAACGCTGATGGACTCTCTACCCAGAAAACCAGGTTACTACAGTACCTCCTCGCCGAGAAGAAGGTTGATGTGGCCCTAATCCAGGAGACCCACCTCAGAACCCAGGACCGGCTCAAGATACCCGGCTACCACGCGTACCGGAAGGACGAAATGTCACCACTAGGAGTGGCGTACAGGGGCCAAGCCATCCTAGTAAAACGGTCGCTCATCCACCAACCGCTGCCAACACCCACGGACCTCCAGACTTCGTACGCCATAGGGATCGAGGTCAACCTGAACAGCCGCCCCACCCGTGTGTACACTTTTTATAGGCCACCTGAGGCAAAGTTGGTGGAGTCTGATATCCGTCATCTGATGGGATCAGACCTGCCAACTCTCGTAGCAGGGGACTTCAACTGTAAGCACACGGCGTGGAACTCAAGCCGAGTCTGCCCGCAAGGTAGACGACTGTTCGACCTCTCCGAACGCAGCGGCTACGAAGTCATAGGACCTGAAGTCCCGACCCACTACCCATATCGGGCGACCCACTCTCCGGACGTCCTAGATATTGTGGTAGTGAAGGATGTACCTACAACACCAGCCGTGGAAGTATTGGATGAGCACCTCATCTCTGACCACCAAGCCGTCCTGATTACCCTGGAAGAGTCGCCAACACGGACAGTGCCTCCTCGACCCAGACATCGACAGAATTGGGAAGCCTTCGCCGACTATATGGCGGAGAAAACACCCTCACGCCCAGTGCACAGCGCCGAAGAAGTTGACCAGCTAGCTGAAGACTTCGCCCACAGCATCCGCGCAGCGTTAGAAGCTACTGCCAACACCCCTTCACGCCACAAACGCACCCAACAAACTCCCCACAGAATCCTGTCGATGATAGAGGAGAAAAGGAAACTGCGTCGACAATGGCAAGTAACCAGATGCCCAACCACGAAAACCCGGTTGAACACCATGGCCGCAAGGATTTCGGAAGAGCTGGAATCCCATGCCACCGAATCCTGGCAACACACCATCGAGTCAACCGGCGATGACTGGAACGGCATCCACAAACTATGCCGCCGTCTCAGCGGGAAAGCGCAACCTGTGCGCCCCTTATTAGCCAGTGACGGAACCCCCCGTTACAGAGCCGAAGACCGCGCTGAGATCTTTGCCGACCACCTCGAGACGCAGTTCCGCCCAAACCCGTCCGTGAATCATCAGCATGCAGCCGACATCCAGCAGCACCTCGAAAACTACTTCGCCACACCGATAGCTTCCGACGAGGACCCCATTGTCTTTTCGCCAGGACAAGTCCTGCGTATGACCCGCCGAGCCAAAAGGAAGAAAGCTCCCGGACCAGACCGGATCTCAAACGAAGCCCTCCGTCACCTACCGCCGAAGGCGATCGCCGCGATGACCCGTATATTCAACGGCATCATGCGGACAGGTCACTTCCCACACTCCTGGAAGCTCGGTCGAGTCATCATGCTCCCGAAACCGGGGAAAGACATCCTGAAACCGGAAAGCTATCGGCCCATCGCTCTGCTGCCCACCATCTCTAAGGTTTTCGAGAGGTTGCTGCTGCTGCATCTGACTCCACACATCCAGCCACGCGACGAGCAGTTCGGCTTCCGAGCCGAACACTCCACGTCTCTCCAGCTCGCCAGAGTGCTCCACCACATGACGGTGGCTTCTAACAAGAAGGCACACACCGTCGCAGTTCTTCTGGACATGGAGAAAGCGTTCGACCGCGTCTGGCACCCCGGCCTGCTGTACAAGATCTCCACTTCTACTACTCCTCGTCGAGTAGTTAAGACAGTGGAATCTTTCCTGAAAGGTCGCCGCTTCCACGTAGCGGTGGAGCAAGTGACCTCCTCAGAACGCACCATCAGCGCCGGAGTACCTCAAGGAAGCTGTCTGTCACCCGTGTGTTACGCTCGATACACGGATGACATTCCCTTGGCGGAAGGGGCCACCCTGGCCTTGTACGCCGACGACGCCGCGTACCTCACCACCTCCATCACCGCGTCTCACGCGGCGCTCAAGATGCAGCGCCAACTGGACATGCTTCCTTCCTGGCTGGATGACTGGCGGCTCTCGGTCAACGTCACCAAAACCCAGGCGATCAGCGTGAGCACCTCGAAGAAGATGCCACCGAAGCTGACACTGATGGGCCAACCTATCGAGTGGTCCCCCACGGTGAAATACCTAGGGGTGACAATCGATAGAAGACTGTCTATGGCCCATCACATCAAGAACGTGCAGAACACCCGCGCAGCCCGCGCACTCCTGCGACCGATTCTCAAGTCCCGACTCCCACTACGAGTGAAACTCGGAGTGTATAAGACGTACATCAGATCCCGCCTAACATATGCAGCCCCAGCATGGTACGCGCTGGTAGGAGAGTGCAACAGGCAGCGACTCAGAGCTCAACAGTCGCTGACCTTGCGGTGCATCACAGACGCCCCACGATACGTGAGAAACGACGTCATCCAACGGGACTTGAGCATGGAGACCCTCGACAGCTTCGTTGATCGCCTGGCCAAGACCATGTTCCGGCGCGCCGGACAATCCCTGTATAGCCATATACAGGGACTGGCACCACACCGAGCCCAACACCCTGACGAGAAACTGCTTCCAAGGGACCTACTTGGGCCCGAGGAAGCCCCACCGGACTAGACACCAGCTGCTGAAGATGGTTGAGAAACCTGCCGGCCCACCGGCAGGGACTCCCATCCGAAGCAGCTCACCCTATTGCGACACCCAAGGGTTATACCCAACCTCAGGACCCGCTCGTCTCCACGAGCGGCGATTGACCCCGCCGAAAGAGGCCGACGCCTCGAACGGCCCCCTCAAACCCGCAGACGCGAGTTTTGAGACGACTACGGCAGAAATTGTTAGTGCTTTCTGTCACTGTAGCATTTATACGGCAGTAAATGGTACTCAAGTATTAGAGAAGATTCCGTCCTATTTCTGCCACTTTAAGGTTTGGCACTGAATCGTGTGCTTTCACGCCAGTGAGACATACTGTTGGGTCCATAACCCTGTAAATTTACCCTTTTTGATATTAGATAATCTCAGTACAGAGTACTAAAAAAACCGACCTCAAAAGTACGTGGAATTACGTCTATTTGCTAAGTTTCATTGAAATATCCCCTAGTTCGGCACTATACAGGACTTGATACTGGAGATAATAAAAATAGGTATCACTACGACACTAAAGTATATCGAGGGAAAAACGCCTTGAGTTGGATAAATAGCAAAGTCAACTAAATAATTGCTAGAAGTAATTGCTCCTAAATTAAAGTTAGGCGCTATTTATAAAAATGAATCTTCATGCGTGAACAGCCACCCTTTGAGGTGGATGATTTCCTTCAAAATAAAATGGGACCACTATGGAAGTACCCCCTTTCCAACAAAAAAAGAATAATAAAATCGGTTCACAAATACCGGAGTTATCGCGTAACATACATACAAAAAAAAAGAACATACAGTCGAATTGAGAACCTCCTCCTTTTTTGAAGTCGGTTAAAAACATAAATCTTCAGTCAAATAATTAAGTACATATCTCTCAATTTTTCATTCTTATTTTTTTCAAATCAAAATCGGACATTATAACAAATAAATATTTTGTTGAATCTAGAGAGGCTTTGTGATTTGAAGTAAATAAATTTGCTCTTGGATTAAATATTTCTGTCTTGTAAGTAAAATACACTTTTGAGACGTTTTTTTTACTATTATCAAGTAATTATTCTCTAGCGTCTATAGAGAGAGAATCGTTTTGTTGGATTTAATAAATTTGTCTTCATAAAAAGAATTTTGACTTTTTCTAAGTAATCTGTTTTTACCGTGTAGAATAGAACATAATTTGACATTTTCATTATATTCTGTTTATTTTATGTAAACACAGTAATAAAAAAGCCTTGGAATGTAATACACCATGAAATAACGATTGTTTTGATTTTTATTGTTAAAAACTTTGGTGAAATTACTGGTACATGGGACTTGACAACTTGTGTCTCGGGTGACGGGCGCAGTGAAAGTGCCCCTCAGATCTTTGGGATTTAAAGTTCTGAGTGGCACTGCAACTGTAATGGACAGGCGCGTAGCTTACCATCAGGCGTACGACTTGTTCGTCCCGTCACTAGATTATTATATATATATATATATGTATATATATATAAAAAATCTACAAAGTAGAATTCCATTTTGTCATGTGTTACATTTGTATATTTATATGTCGTGCCAATTGTGAACGTGTTATAGAACAATTTTTTAGAGAAATTATAATAATTATTTTATTATAATTTTAATTATGTTTTTCCTATGAACTCCAACCGGCCACAGTCCA